GGTCTTCTGAAATTCGCGATTAGCCTTCTCCATTGTTAGTCTGTCCACTTTGTCCCAGTCTTCTCCGGATATACAATTGGAAAGTGAGAGGTGGAGTCGTAGTAACTTCTCACTTATTTTTTGTAGATCATTGAAGGTCTTGTGGATTCTTTCTCGTAGCAGTGCTTGTTCTGTCCTAATCAAAATTCTACGTGCTGCAGCGGAGTCGATGTGGTGCTTCACCTTCAAGAAGGTTGGCGTTACTTTCTTCTCTCTGCATCTTCGTAGAAAGGCCAAACTGCTCAACAGCTTGCGTTGTCTAATTCGTGAGTTATCCAAATCCTTGATTTGTTTGTTGATATCCTCCCCATAAAGGTTAATAATATAAGTACTAAGGCTTTCACTTCGAACCCTGTTTCTGAAGAAGGTTACAACATGGCATCCGAAACGTCAAACCTTTTATTAAAAGACGCACGGCAAAACCCGAAAGTTTCTAGTGTTTGTTATTATTATTATTACTTATTAAAGACAAATTGTTAAGTCTCTCTGGACTCATATTTGCTCTTAAATAGGTTTTTATTATTTTAAGTTTTGAAAATGATCTCTCTCCTGATGCAACACTAACAGGTAATGTTAGGTATATTCTAAGTGCTATAGTAATATTAGGAAGCATATTGAATAAATCATTAGTAAAAATATAATGTAAGACGTTTATTGCATTCATATTAGGTTTCAAATACGTTGTTAAAATTTCTATTTCATCATATAAATCTTTTCCACATATATCAGAATTGTTACTACTATTTTTCAATTTTTCTTCCAAGTTTGTGTAATACTTAATTTTTGTTTCCTTACTTTCCATTTTTAAGCTGTAAATGTCATTTAAAAACTGAAAATTTTGATTGATACATTTTAAAAGATCGATATCTATTATTGTAAAATAGAAATTAATTTTAAAATTTAATTCTGGGTCTTGAATAGTTTCATCTGCCTGTTCATAATCAAATGATTTTTTTTTTCTTGCGGGGTCGTATTGTGTTCGCATCAGGAGACTTACAATCGCAATCCATTTCTTTTGCTATTAACTCTGCTTCTTTTAAAATGGTGGCAAATATTTTGTCTGTACGACATTCCATTAAATATGACTCTAGATCAGACAGCATAGTAATAATAGTGGATATTATTGCATGTTCTTCTTGCATTAGTTTGCTTACAATATTAATTTTAGTTAATATATTGTACCATATAAGCGGCGAGCATACAAATTTGAACGATTTTATTTTCGTAAGTAAAGATTTTGCTGTGTTTCTAGTAGAAGCATTTGTTGTAGAGTCACTGTATAACTCATATAAAGCGTCATACACCAATGGTAAATTATATTTAAAAACTTTGACAGCTTCAACCCTACTTTCCCATCTAGTATCTGAAAGTGGTTTTAATGTCAACGTTGGGCATTCATTTTTAAATACATGCCACCGATGTGGCGAAGCAGAAAAAAACACATAAATTTCGTGAATTAAATCAACGAAGCTGCAAATTTCTAATGAGGAATTTGCGGCGTCGTTAACAATTAAATTTAAAGTATGAGAGGAACATGGGATATAAAACGCTCTCGAGTTTATATCTAAAATTTTTTTTTGAAGACCATTGTGTTTTCCTCTCATATTGGCCCCATTGTCGTACCCTTGACCTCGCATATCTTGAATATCTATATTTTGTTTATCTAAATAGTCTAATAAGAAATTTGTTAAACCATCATCAGTAGTATTTGTTATAGGACAGAATCCCAAAAAGTGTTCTTTTATTTCAACTGTAATTGATGCTTTATTCATGTGCACAAAACGTACGATAATTGTTATCTGTTCTTGATGGTTTATGTCTGGTGTACAGTCTAATATGATTGAATAGTATTTACATAGAGGTATTAATAATTTTATTTTTTACATTTTGTCCTATTATATCTATAATTTCATTTTGTATTTTGTCACCTAGATAATGAGGCATGTATTCTTCATTTTTTATAATTCGATTCAAGTACTCTGCCATAACACTGTCAAACTGGGCGACTGCTTCGACCATTTTTAAAAAGTTTCCATTATTGTTTTTATGTAATCTGTTATTATGTCCTCTTAAAGCTAAATTTTGTCCAGCTAGGAATTGAATGATGATTATAATACGTTCTATCACTTGTTTCCACCGTTTCTTTTCTAGGAATATTAAATTTTCATTAAGTTGATCAACCGTTTGCTTTTTTGTCATCGCTGTTTTTAGATCAGTCCATAATTTATAGCTTTTATAATGAAACGCACTTTTTTCATGCCGTTCCAAGTTTCTAGATAAATGTTGCCAATCGCTGTAGCCTTGAGAAGTATTAAATGCGTTGCTGTTGTTAACAAATATTTTGCAACAGAAACAATAAACCGAATTTTTTGTTTTAGAATACACTAACCAGCTTCTATGAATCGTTTCATTATTATTTAAAAGTCGGTAAAAATATTTTGTTGAAAACGATCTATTATTCTTATCTGGTGGAAACGCACAATTTTTAATTTGATTAGGTGCAATTTCTATTGGAATCGTCCAAAGAAATGTCACAATTTACATTTTTTGTAATTAAGATATCTTCGGCTGAATTTCTTACAGGTTCGTTTGAAATTTTCACGTCGGTTTCTTCTTCCTCTGTTATATTTGTGCCGATGTTTGATGTTTCAGTGGTAGGATTTTCTGTTGTGCCACATTTGCTAGTTGAAGGAGCAACATCAAAGAACGAAGTAATTTTTTTACGGTGTTTTCTATTCTTTCTTCTCGTTCTAATTTTTTCTTTCTAAATGCAGCTCCCGATAATTTTTTCTTTCCCTCAGACATCTATTTAAGTATTATTGTATTTTATTATCTTAATTGTATAATTTTATTATTTAATTGTATAGTATTAAGTATAAGAAACTTAGAATGGGGTAATTTATAGACTTTATAGTACTGAGGGTGTCAGTGAAGTGCACAGCAGCTTATTAAAAAAAATGTTATTACTCAAACAACAAGGCTTCTCCACTCGACTCCGACTTTAAATTATCGCTGTATAATTGATTTTTAATGCAAGCTTACCTTAAATTTTGGTAAAAAAATAATACACGTAACACTATTATAAAACGAGCACACTATTAACAACTATTCCGTCGTGACGTGCCAAACGGGAAACGGGGTATTTACTTAATAAAATAAAATAAAATGTAATCTATAAGTTGGTTTAAAACTACGCTATTAATTCACTACAAACTCGATAGATGACACATTGATTGTCGAAAAATTAACTAAGATTTCCGCAGATATGTGTTTTTAATCTAATCGTAAGTTAAAAACACATACTTAATACATATTTATAAAATACGTAATAATCAAGGAATAAATATTCGTTGTCTTCCTCTGTTTACTCAATTTTTTATTATTCTGTTCTTAAATAATTCATTATTTTCAGTATTAGTTCGCCTTTGCATATAAAAGCGCTATTTTATCGCGTTACATGCGCCCCTAGGATGACCGCGCCCGGGTGCGATATTTAATAAAAATATGTTTTGTACCGAAAATATTACCTTGAAATCCATCGATAAAGACAATGATGATGAAAGATGTGCCCGCACCGTGTTGCATAAAGATCAGTTCTAGTAATAACATCGCTACAGATTATAAAATAATACTCATACTGAAAATAATATAGGTTAAAAAATAATTAGATGAATAAAATTTGTGATAAAATTACTGGAAGCGTGGATGGGAAGTTCTTGGTGAACAATATGGTGGAGAATGAACTTTTACGTAATGGACCACTATTAAAAAACCGGATCTTTTAAAAGAGGAAATGAATGTTTTTCTTGTAAACACGGCCGCTACTACAGTATCACAGTTACACAATATTAAGTAATGTACACGATATTATAATAATATTTGGTACATTGTTGAAACTTGGTACTTTATTTAATGTTGAAATTCAAAAATAGTGTTTCCTGATTGGTCAATACTATTAACGTGAAGTTCGTTTTTAAAATTTTCTGACATCAACATTTGAAATGTCACTAATTTAAGTTATTTTTTTTAATAACTATTATTTACGTATGAAGTCTTGTAGTTTTAATGCTTCTTTACATTGCTTTTCAGATATCTGATCATTTTCTTCTATATCAACGGCAAAATTCCCAAAATGCTCCAATCTTGAGATTATGAATTTTCATCTAAAATTTCATTAATCACACAAAGAACGGCTGTTTTCCATTCTTACTATGCTAAGATTATCATTTTCAATAACTTTAACCGGATAAATAAGGATTTTTTTGGGTATCAATAAAATATATGTTTAGTTTTATATTCTATGGTTGTAGCGGTGGCGCTGCGAACTAAAAAAATAATACGAAAGAGACAGAGAGAGAGAGAGAGAGAGCGTCGAAGAGTCTGTATCGTTTTGTACTGTCCGATATAATTTAAGTTAAAGTTGTTCTATTTAAAACGTCAATAAAACCATTCAATAATCTCAAAAGGCTATATTTATATATACAATGCGATCAAGAAAGCCGGTCCGCTAAAAACTACTTTCCCAAGCGCTTGATACCAATACTTACTGTCCTCGTCACAGCCTCCTCCCATCTCTACTTGTTTTTATAGTGGTGGGGAAATGGGAGGAAACGTTTCGTTTAGTAAACATAACCTTAAAAACTCACACGTACAAAATTAAAAATGTTACTCTCGTTAAACAAAATTTGAAATACATTCTCTCTGAAATTAGATTGGTGGACGTAAATTTAAATTATGATGGAAATAATTAAAAAGGATTAATTGATAAAAAGAAAACCCTTTAAACTATTCTTTTGTAATTAATTTATTTCATAAATCAAAAAAAGATCTTTTATTTTATTATAAAAATAAAGGTTTAGAAGTTTTATTTATTATAAAACTAATTCAAAATGATGACCATTCTTTTCTAAACATAAAGTGATTCTTCTTTTCATATTATCGAAGACCTGTACAAGTTGCTCTGCAGTTATTTGTTGAACATTGTGTCGTATTGCATCTTCCAACTTTTCTATGGCATGTAAACGGTTTTTGTAGACAGAATTTTTGAAATGACGGAATAAAAAGAAATCTAGTGGGGTTAGATCGGGTGAGCGAGGTGGCCAACATCCTCTACCGATTACTCAATCATCATAAAATTCATGAAGGAATCTTTTGTTTGTTCGTGCAGTTGCATTGTCATGTTGAAAAAATCCTTCTTCCAATTCATCATCATGTAATTATTCAATGAATTCTTGTAACAAAGCACTTTGACAACTTTCCTAATGTCATGACATAAGGTAATTCACTACATTTTCCAGGCATGTCTCCCTAAATTCCTCTACACAAAGACTTGTTGAATATTTTCATACCCCATTTTGATCTTTTACTCCATTTCGAAGATAAGATTGGAGAAGAAACTTTGAAACTTGTCTTCTTCTAAGGTGAACGGCATGATTTAACCTAAAAATAAATCAACGAAATTTATACCAAACCGATTTAAAATAAAATAATTATTTACCTTAGAGAAAAATCACAATCGAATTTTTGTCTTAATAAAGACAGATAATATTAAATAAAACCGCAATAAATTCATAATGAAATATTGAAAACACCAAACGCCAAAACCAAGAACACGACTCTGAGCTCAGCTGATCGAAACCATTGAAACTAAAAATCGATATCACCTCGTCGACCAATAAGAACGTTGAAAATTAAAAACAAGTAGAGATGGGAGGAGGCTGTGACGAGGACAGTAAGTATTGGCATCAAGCGCTTGGGAAAGTAGTTTTTAGCGGACCGGCTTTTTTGATCTCTCGGTATAATAGCAGGATATGGGCCCAGGCACTGGCCGAAAAGAAAAATAAGGGTTTTGTTGAATGGTAAAGATTGGACGTTGTTGGGTGTGGTAGGAAGAAAAAAAAATGGCGGACGCAAATTCGGTTGTACGCTTAAAAGGTGTAAATAATTGGAACACATGGAAATTCCACATGATTATAACGTTAAAAAGTAAAGACTTGTATGAAATAGTAGTATGAGTGATGACCCTGAAAAGGAGGAAGATAAGAAAGAATGGCTGAAAAAAGACACAAAAGCTCAAGAATTAATAGTTTCTCGATTGGAAGAGGGGCCGATGGGTCATTTACTAGTATGTACCAAAGAAATTAAAAACAATATATGAACCGCAATCTAACGTAAGTGCTTATTTACTACAACAAAAGTTCTTTCAGTTAAAATTGGAAAAACAAAGCATAACAGAATTCGTGTCAAGTATTGAAGAAATTGTACACCAATTAAAGCAAATGGGTGAGTCGATACCAAAACAGATGTTAATAACTAAGATATTAATGGCATTACCCGAAAGTTATAAACATTTTATATCGGCATGGGAGTCGGTAACCCAAGATGATCAAACGTTCGATAAGTTGATGGCACGTTGCTACACTCTCAGGGCGGTATAAGGAAAACAAAGAAAATGTTTGAGATATCGTAAGGTAAAGATTTATAAAAAAAAATTTAAGAAGTGACAATATAAAAAAAAAGTTTTTACATAAGGTTCTTTCTTTATAATTCTATTTATATAATATTACTGTTTAGACGAAGTCTGTTTGTATTGTATAAAAAAAATAATAAAATTACTAATAACCTTCTCTAACGCAAGCTTAGGTTATACGAGTAAGATTGAAAAGAAAAAAAAATAATAGATGTTGTCTTTCAATGAAACAGAACTTCAGGAATTGCTTTTATCCAAGACACCACCAAATAATTTTTCACCTTCGGCATTTTTGAAATACTT